TTATATTCTGATCTTTGGATATTGAAATGAATACGAGTAAGAAGAAAAAAGTATCATTGATAGATATACAATGGAAAAAATTTTTTCATATTGATTTATGAAAGATAGGATGTTTTAAATTTTTACTAATTTTTTTAAATATATATAACATATATTATTTATTATTTAAAAATGGAAAAATTATGTTTTATAGAGGAAAGTTATTATTTTGTATGAAATGATAAATAATTTACGATTTTTTATATTTTATATATAGATAGATAAATCATTTATTATTTGTACGATAAATGACGTATATTTGTTGTATCACGTTAATTACGTATCATAACGCGATTATTTATGATTATAATTATATGATGCGGTGTTGAATGGCGCATACGTTTGAAAATGATTCGTGGTTTCTTCTTTTCTCCTCAGCGTTATTATTAATTAATTATTGCAATCAATACGAATTACGTTACACAATGAATCAAAATCCATTGTGTGAAAATAAAATTAAATAAAATTAATTCGATAAAGTAAACATTCCAATAATAGTGTTATTTAAACGAATTATTTACATTTCAATCGAAATGTGCATTTTCTCGAAGAATTTTAATTTTAAAATTATCTTTATCAAATTAAATTTATTTTATTATATTTTATTCACTACTTCACCTACTTCTTTTATCTCGATTTTCTTAAATTTTCGAAACATCTTAAAGTACAATTTTTCCGAATATTCAATTGCTTCTTAATTCTTAATTCTTCCATGTTCTATATTTTCCTTACAAAATCTTTCTTTCGACGAATCCCAAATTCAAAAAGACAGTAATCCTAACCAATTCATTCTCGAGCACAAACGAAAAGTGCCACACCTCCCATCCAAAACGTCCCTTAATTCTTAAGATCTGATATCGATGGCGCGGAGTTCCGTGCTCCAATTCCACGTGTATCAGGTATTTCGGTATTCACAGTTGGCCGAACAATCTAAAATTTCCCGGAGTTGTGACAATAACGTTGCACGCAGCGTTGTCGAAACGAAGCGTGGCGTCGAAGATAAGATTTTTGCGAAAGGCGCGCCTACAAAATGGCGATAAATCGATTTACAGTGGAACACGTGTAAAAAAGAAGGGGATAAGAAGGTGAGACGAAGAAGAAGAAGAAGAAGAACTGGCGGAAGGAAAGACCAGGGGATCGCGAGATACGCACGTGATCATCGTGGCCACTGTTAAATTGATAGCAACTCATACACAATGAACTTCATTTATAATCGCCGACTCTAATTCGAGCTACTTCGGCTAGTTACGAAGTGGCAGAAGCAAATCTCAACGACAACGCCGCCTCTCTGGCAAACGTCGAATTCGAAGAATCAGACGACGTGAGAATTCGTATGCTTATGACGAATCTGCTTTATTATTCACATCCAACCTTTATCCTTTTAATCGATATTTCTCAACTTGCTCGTCGCGTTACGGGACGTTCTTCTCAACTTTCCACGACATTCGTCTTGATGAATTGGATTTGAAAATAGAATATATGTATGAATAACTATTTAAATTCAATGGAAAATGTTGTTTCTTCCTCGTTGAGAGAGTTTTTTTCCGCTTGTTTTGTTCGTTGTACCGATCTTTCGTAATGGTGATTGAAGCCAATTTGTGTCCACGATCGTTTTAATCGAATTTTCGATTAATGTTGTTGAAAATTCTGTTTCATAGTCAGTCGCAAAAATAATACCATCCCGCAACGAAATTTTTATTTTAGTGGGGGTATATTTTCGTGTACGTTGAAGCAATTTAGAGAAATTCTTTTGAAAGTTTTAAAATCAATTAGAAACATTTTTTTTTTTTGCAACGGGGATAATTGAAACTTGAATATTTCATAGTTTTATCTTTTTGAGTTATCATTATCGAGTTACGAATTTAAATATAAAAACGAAAATGATGCCTCGTTTATTCTTATTCTTGGTCAAGAAACGAACAGTATAAAAGGGAGGAAATGCATACGAAAAATTTACTTTCGAAATTAATAAAGAAAATACGATAATATCTGCGTTATCACCTGTATTTCCATCAGATTAACCTTAATAATTCTCCGATCGAAAGTACGCTTGTTGTTCGATTCGACTCGTCGCGAATTAACCAGCGTGGCTGATCTCATTTGAATATTAGCAATCGATGATGCTCCTCCGCGCATCAAGCGTGATGAGTATTGTACAAAGCGGGCGGGACAA